AGTCAAAAGTTTCACTAGTCAAAATCACTCAAGTTTTTAGGCATTAAAAGTCATTGTCAATTCACTTCTTATCATTCAGAATCATTGTTAAAAGTCAGAAAAACATTAATAATCACTAAAGTACTTACATTCAAATTGTCACTCGATGAAATACTTAATTAATTACTCAAAAATTTCTAGAGCTCGCACATAATATTGAACACCTTTAAATGTTCTTTCACAATTTTCCGTTACTTTTCAAAGACTTTTCCCGAGGCAATAAAAGAAACTTTCGCGAATTTTACCAGGACTGACACATTAGGTACTGGAGACTTTAACTCAAACTGGACTGAACTGCGAACTCAACTGACAACTGATGATCTCAATTGAAACCGCTGTATTTATATTATTCGATCCCCCCAAAAATTCTAATTTTCACCATTCTAGAAGATGATGCAATCTCCTTTGTCAATTGGGCTGGTAATGGCAAATCAAATAGGTATTGGACAAGAAAAGCAAACACATCAAACAAAGCTTGTGGTCTGGTTTATTGAACGGTTTCAGCACACTTACATGTTTTTAACCTTTTTTGCTGAACAAATTCTTAATAATTTACTTAGGAAAACTGGTTAACATAATAGTATATTATATAATAAGTGTGGTAACTAGGTTATTACCGCACGCGAGAGAAATTTGCAAACCGAGCCGGTGAGGCGAGGTTTGCAATCTCTAATGTCACTTGTCACCGCTCATCAAGGAACTTTCGATCCTCTTTGTCTCAAAACAGATTTGATTGAATGGACTTTCTGTTTTTGATAATAAATTTACAAGATTTATTCAGTTTTTTTAGTTTTTATTAAAGCAACAACATGTTGATTCGAGCTGGATCTTAACAAGCTGTCCCTGACAAGTATGAATGACATATGACAAATACAAATAAGGCAGTGGCTACACTATAAGTGGAACATATCCATAATACTTTCGCTCTAAGAATTGAAAATGTTATAACCTTCGACCATTCAGTACACTTGATTGTTATAATTTTCGTTGGTGTATATTAGGTCTGTTATCACAGAAATAACAAACCAGTCAGAGCGTTTTTGATTGGTGCAAATCTCCAACAGGCAACAACCAGTTTTATGACTATTTTCAACCAATGAAATTAATTCCCTCTGACTGATTTGTGATTTCTGTGAGAACAAACCTATCAACGAACAGATGGTACCTATCAGAGCGAATTTCATTGATTGTAAACTATCAGAAAACTGATTTCTGGCGATTTGCACCAATCAAAAACACTCCAACTGGTTTGTGATTCCTGTGAGAATAGATCTCATGTAATACATAAATATATGATATTCTTATTTAAAAAAATGAAGTTACGTTTTTTATCTTATTCTCCTACTCTCTAAACGATAGCCTAAAACTCATTGTTGCACGCCGTGCGGTAATATGTACTTACCGCACGCAAAATCGTGTAATATTCTTTAGTTACCGCACGCTTGTAGATACAAATATTAATTGTAAATAAAATGCGGAATACTACACACGAGGCATTGCTAATTGCCGATTGTTATTCACTGGCATAGCAACAACTCAATAACAACCAAAAACAAAACAAAACAACGTGTTTCGGTGTTTGACATTGACCGTTATGTGAACTTGATTTGGAGCAACATCTTTCAACAGGGGGTGCGTTCGAAATCGTGTTCGGGGTAGAGCTGCAGTCAACATCCTTTGTTATTTGTTAAAAATCGAATAATTATGTCGCAATTTCCTGGTTTTATCGGGGTCAACACTAATTTTTGGTTCAAGAATGCCATAAATCACCGATTTAATTACTATGACCTCGCTTTAAATAAGTTCATTGATTCGATGTTAGGAGATGACATCACGCTTGGTGACTAAATAAGAATTTTCAACGTATATAAATATTTTAATTTAATTTGGGGTCAATGCTAATTTGTTTCATTTTCAATTTATCGATACTGATTTGAAATACCGGAAATTCAGTTTTTGATTATTTGATTACATTTAATTTTTACAGTAAATACATTGTAAATATCGGGATTTTTTTTCCGGATCATTGCACTACCTTTGATTTAAATTTTGGAAAACTTTGAAAGGTCATAACTTTTTTTCTAGTATAGATAGAAAGCTGAAATTTTCAGCAATTCTTATTTCAGTAGAGGATTTCAATCCTTGAAAATTTCAGCTTATTTGGATTTATAGTTCCAGAAATAAAATCGTATTAAGTAATTTGCGGTGATTTATCAATTTTTGAATTTTTCTGAGTGCCTTTTTTCATAGAATCCTTCTATAAATCTCAGAGTTATTTAGTGTATGGAGTTTGGGGAGTCCCAAAAGACCATTAGGACACAAAATCTCAACACAAAAAGCTTTGAAATTTCATCGTTTTAGTACTGAGGTAGCTATATATATTTACACCTTTCATCTACTTGTAAAGGTGAGGGCTGTAGGTGGGGAGTCAATATATAAAAAAAACACCCTGTACTTGAACAATAACTTATTATATAAAGTCAGAATTTGTAAGATTATCCACTTTTTGTCGATTTCCCTTTCAACAGAAATTAGTAATGTTACTTCACCACGATACTAGCCTGACTCACTCAAATGTGAGTTATTCTCATTACTTTAAGAAAACACGTTTTAGGTGAGTGTCTTATTGGAACAGTTCAATAGTATATTGGTGAGTAGATGGCTGCGGAACTCGTTACGCTCGTCCCGCAGAGGTCCACCCATAAGTTCCGCAACAATTCACTTATTTGTACTTGAACAATAACTTATTATATAAAATCAAAATTTGTAAGATTACCAACTTTTTATCAATTTGCCTTTCAACAGGAATTAGTAATGTTACTTTACGCAACTGGTAATATAATGTGACAAATTATTCAAGTACAAACGAGTGGATTGTTGCGGAACTTATGGGTGGACCTCTGCGGGACGAGCGCAGCGAGTTCCGCAGCCATCTATTTATCAATATGTTGTGTAATTACAATACTAACCTGACTCACTCAAATGTGAGTTATTCTCATTTGTTTAAAAACTACACGTTTCAGGTGAGTGTCTTTTTTGACCAGTTCAACAGTATATTGGTGAGTAGATGGCTGCGGAACTCGCTGCACTTGTTCTGCAGAGATCCACCCATAAATTCCTCAACAATCCACTTATTTGGACTTTAACAATAACTCATTATATAAACTCAAAATATGTAAGATTATGATTATGCACTTTTTGTCAATTTGCCTATTAACAGAAATTAGTAAAGCTACCTTATGATTGAGATTTTGGAAAACTTTGAAAGGTCATAACTTTTTTTCTATTAAAGATAGAAAGCTGAAATTTTCAGCGATTCTTATTCCAGTAGAGGACTACAATCCCTGAAAATTCCAGCTCATTTGGACTTATAGTTCCAGAAATAAAATCGTATTAAGCAATTTGGAATGGTTTATCAATTTTTGAATTTTTCTGATGTTTTTTTTTTCATAGAATCCGGCTCCAAATCTCAGAATAATTTAGTGTATGGAGTTTGGGGGGTCCCAAACGATCATTAAGATACAAATTCTCAACAAAAAAAATTTGAAAATTTCATCGTTTTAGTACTGAGGTCCACTGATAAACCGGTCCTAAGTAAAATGTAGTTAAATTGAAACAGTTACCTGGTAAAATAAATCCTAAAAGTTTAAAACAGTTTCTTGAAATATATATTTCCCAACAATTCCCAAATCTAGTTTACAAGGAAATTTATAATTTTTTGTGTATGAAAGTGGGAAAAAGTTCATAGTTCCATTTCTGAGCCTCAGATTTGTTCTGTTTGATAAAAAGATCCTAATTAATGAGTCATGCAGCTCCTCCCCTTAACGCACCTAACGCACCTAGTCCAGCCAATTATATTGGATTTAATGGTAGAATGTCTGAGCAAGGTAATAGAGAAATTTGATAAGACAAGACAAAGAAGTGTTGTTTTTTTGAGATGAAACATAACTTCCATAAATCAACAAAAATTGAGGTAAAGAACAATATACAAAAGGTCAAGTATCATCCCACGGGAAATGTAAAGCTCGTGAATCGATCCTTTCTAATAATGTATTTTTGTATATTATTTACCACAAGGGCTGGGATGTAATTTTTATGCTTAAAGATAAAACTATATTTTCGTAATAGGAAAAAGTCCTGAACTACCCAAAATTTAGTTACAATTTAGTTTGCCTCAAAGGTAAACTAGTTTGCGATTTAGAGAAGTGGTTAAACAAACTCTGAACTTCAATTTTCTCTCCGTCTAAATACGAAACGAAACTTTTCAGAAGCACCGGGCATTCATTTTAAAAATGTTCATTACTTTTCATTTCATATCAGCCACATTACTTGAATCTGGAAAATACATTTTAATAATTTAGTAGGTACCTACCTACTAATTTTTGCTTCTAAACTATTAAATATCAAACTAAAAGCTGTCAACGAAGCTCGATATCGTTTCCATTCACATGTCGTAACTTTGTTTTAATCAAGAAAGTTTCCACATGGGCCTTTGTTCGATTTGAACTAACTTCGAATGTTCCAATTCGATAATAATTGGACACATCAGCGATTTGAGGTGTATATTATTGGCGAAATTAAGCTCATCGTTTGACCATGACTGGGCGATTTCGATCTCTGCCTGCACCCCTTTGGGGTTTTGTCAGAGGTCAGTGAACAGAGAGGTTAATTGATTTATTTTTATTATTGCGCTTCATATATAAATTTAAATAATTTCAAAGGAGGATAATAATTTATACGAAAATCCCCCGCAGACTAAAATAAGTAGGTACACTTGACTGAGTCTTAAGGAAAACGGGGATTTTATTTGAATTTATCTTACGTTTGCAAACATTTTAAGCACGATGTTTTACGGTTCCAAAACGAGAAACTCTTTAATTTAAATTTATATTTCCAGTTTTAATATACCTTACAACAACGAGGCAAAGTTTGTGCAATATATTTCAAATTTATATTTCCAGGTATCGTCAACAGAGGCGATTCTTTTAGACGAAGAAGGTCGCGAAGCAATTCGCTGTGTCCTCCATCTTTGGGAGGACAAACACCTTCGCCGGTCTCCGATGATCACGTAACCGAGGTGTCGAATTATACGGTCGCTTTGTTGGGATCCCAAGGAGTTGGCAAGACTGCACTGATAAGTCAATTTATGACGTCGGAATGTATTAACGCTTACGAACGACAAAAAGGTAAGAATTGTTGGATTGTTTTTTTTTTTGATTTTATATGTATGAGAAAAACTATAATTTCTCAGCTGGGTAAAGTAAATTTCGATCCGTACGACTGCGCCAATTATGTTTTTAATTCAGAACCATTTAGTTAAGGTTGTGTTACGCTCACATAAACATCCAAATCCATTGTGTCTTTTTTCGAATTAAATCTGTCAAAGGTTTGGCAATATTAGCAAAATTTAATACGAATTTGCGATACCAGGAACAAGTTTGAATAAAGGTGCGAAGTTCTTTAATGTTTCTTGGCGGATCAGAAATTGCTGAAATCTTCTCGGGGTTTACAACAATACCTTCAGAAGTCGATACATGACCAAGCTATTTAATGTTTGTAGTGGCAAAGGTGAATTTCTCTCTGTTAGCTTATAGGTTGAATTTTTGAAGTCGGTCAAATACTTTTTGCAAGTCGTTTAAGTGTTTCTGATAACACTAGCAGATCATCCAAATATGCAAATACCATGGCATCAAGACCACTCTTAAATTTATCTATTAGCCTCTGGAATAGTGCTGGAGCGTTTTTAAGACCGAACGGCATCCTTTTAAATCTGAATAGACCAAAAGGGGGTGACAAATACCGTTTTATCCCGATCCTTTTCCTCTAATGATATTTGCCAAAATCCGGACTGCGTAAGTCTATTGTGGACATGTATTTCGTCTGTTTTGTTCCTTGTAAAAGGTCATCTATTCGGGGCATTGGAACTTGTCGCTAATTGTAATGCTATTGAGCTTTTGGTAGTCGATGCAAACTTTGATTCTACCATTGGGTTTTGGCATCATGACAACAGCGGCAGCCAATGGGCTCTCACATTTTTCAATTATGTTGTTTGAAAGCATTTTATCAATTTCTACCTTCAATATTTCTTGTTTGGTTTTGTTTAGTTGACAGGGTGGTAAAGAAATTGGAATAACATTGAACTGGGTCTTAATGTGCAATCTGGCAAATTTCGTGGCCGGACCACTGGACTTAAAGACTTGTGAATTTGCTCGTAACATCTCCTTCAGTTGATTCCGCTCCTCTAACATTAACATAATTCCTTCATTAGTGCTCAGAGAACTAAAGTCATTGATGGCCGCTGAAGTTGTTTCACTGGATGCAACATCAACAATCTCCGGAAAAGTATATTTATTTTGGGAATTCGCTCCAAATTGCCAAGATCGGTTTGATAGGTCCAGCACAATCTCAGAATTTCTTATAAAGTCGGCTCCAAGTAGGGTGTATTCAGCATTAGGCAGAGCTAGGAAGTTTGTCAACACTGTGTGGTCCTCTATGTTCACATCTGTAGAAAGAGTAGGTAGGTACCTTCTGAGTGGATATATTTCCATCTGCTAATGTAATTGTAACTGTTTCGTATTTTGTTTCTGAGGATTTCTCAACATGAGTTTTATTAATCTCGAAAAGTCATTTTCTTGCAATGGTCCTTGAGGTTCCTGTGTCTGCATAGGCAAGCCCACTTTTACCAAAAATTGTTATTGGAAGAACAGGTCTTGACAGCTTGGAAGAATCACTTTGGGACATCGATTCCAAATAGTGTGGCTTGTTTTTGCTAGCTTTGATTATTTGAAGTAGGTACTTCCTTAGTTATATTTTTAAATTTTGGGCAATTTGTCCTAATAACTTTTGGTTTTCCACAACCATAGCATGTAGGAGTAACTTTTTCTCTCTTATCTTGGCCTCTTTCTTCGTTCTTCTCCCTAGGAAGTTCATCTCTTTGTTTGGTTCTGCATTCTTCAACCTAGTGTCCTTAACGTTGACAATAAGCACATTTTGGCCTTTCACGGTTTTTATTGTCACTTGACCTTTGTGTATTTTGCCTTGAATTCATATTTGTAATAAGACTTTAAATTCGGAGTTCAATAAATAGGAAACCTCGCACTATTTATGAAAATTCTTATGAAAGTTTTCAAAGATCAAAGTTCAATAAATAGGAATTACCGCACTATTCATAAAAGTATTAAAGTTCAGATATCAATGAATAGGAAAAACAGCACTATTCATGAAATAAACGAGCAAGATACTTACATACAAAAGCAACACTTGCAAAGTTTGTGGGAACTTTCCAGAGTCACTACACCAGTTTATGACACTTTCCTGGCCCCACGTTGGGCGCCAATATAACAATACCGTTGACAAAAAATTCTACCCGTTTGCATGTGACGATAGGTAATAGGTAATATGGAAATAGATATAATAAATATGGGTTTGTTACATATAAATATGGGCTTGTTACAATTTTGATTTTTCTAAATTTTTCATATTTTGCCTTTATCAATCGGAAGAGGGGGTAAAATTTTGTGAGAATGTATCATCGTGATTTTTCTTTTTGAGATTTTAGGTCCTGTAAAAAATTACAAATGATTTTTGAATTTTTTGCCCTGAAACATTTTGATCATCCGACATTGCCTCACAAAATCGCTCATACCTTAAAAAAATATTTCAGAAACTCCTATGCATATTTATATATTCTTAATCAGAATCAAATTCTCCTCAAGATAAAACTAAATTGAATAATCTATCTCAAATATTTTCCGAGATATTGAGCCTCAAAATTGAAATATTGTCTTAAATTTTTTGAAAATCTTCAAAGTTAATTATCTCGAAAAGGAAGCCCTAGGGCTCATTGCCCCAAAATACCTTTTTTGAAGCCCCAATCGAGATCTACAACTGGACCAAATTTCGTATCAATAGCTTATCTGGTTTCTAAAATATGCCCCTTAGAAATATATTTGAAACTGAAATATTTTTTCTTGATGAAAGGTTAGGAAGGTCTTTCGCTACAAACTCAAAAAAGTTCCCTGAAACCATTAAATAAAGTTCATCTCTACCTATTGGGGCACCTACTTGATAAAATATTCTATCAAATACCCTAGCAAGCCTTTAAATTAATTATAAATGATGCTAGATCTGCTTTCAAGGGAGTTTGTTAATTTTAAAAATTTATATTTAAGGGTCCTTTACATAAAACTTTTAACGCTACTATTTACTCAATTGGGCAAGTTTAAAACCCAAATTACGAACGTAGATTTTAATTTATTATAGTTCAATGTTGATTTATGACTCTTTTGGTTGAATAAATTAACATTAGTTTAATAATGTTTTGAAGAAATGTTGAATGGAAGTTAATATAATGGCCAGCGTGTAGGAAAAACATTAAAATAAATACTAAAAAAACAGTACAAATTTTAATAAAAATATTATCAAACAAATTTAAATTTAAAAAGCTGGAAAAATTTCAGTTATTGACACGTCAATTGCATTTGCCCGTAAAACTGTTGATTATTTACGCACGCACGAAAACCCAATACATAATAATAAAACAATGAAATTTTTCCCCTTTATATGTCAACGAGTTTATGATTGGTGTTTTTCTGTTTTCATTTGATTAATCAAATTTACACGGAATAATAAATGTACTTTATGTTATATAATTTATATTCTGGTTAGCCAAAAACATAGATTTCCCAACTAGGGCTAAAAAAACGAAAAAAAAACTTAACTAAATGCATTTTCAGGCTCCATTTAGCGTGGCATAATCATTAGGGAAAATGCACTTTCGCACGCAGGTACGGTATTAAAATGGAAATTGCATTTGGCATGTGTTCAAAATGGTCCAACAATAATATAGACTTGTTAATTTAACAGCATTGTGATATATTTTTCTACTGGATATTTAACAGAGTAGGTATCTAAGATCAATGTTTTGTTCCAAACAAAAAGTTCAAATACTCCACTCCTTTATTATCCGCAGGATAAAATTTTTAATGAAGTATCTTTATATTACGAAGTAAATTATGTTTTAGAAACTTTGAAACACTTTTGTTCTTCCTCAAAACTTGAGTAACAACACAATTTTTTAATAACTATGAAAAATTTAATAAAACTAAGACTAAAATATGTAATTAAGTTTTTGGTTGCTTTATACATGTTTCAAAAAATTCAAAGTAACAATTTGTAATATTAAATGTCTGGGTTGCGATATAAAACGTATTTTAGGCACGTTTGGTTCGGGAGAAAAGCCCAGGCTCCCTGCTCAACAAACTGTAAATTTAATACAATTTCAGGGATTTCGCTCTGGAATCAGAAGTCTGCATTAATGTGGAAAATATGCCGAAATTAATATTTACCTTGGATTTTAGTGAATTTACCTTCTGAAAATACATATGGGTTGTTTATAAGTTTGATTACATCATTTTAGTAAGTATCTTTTTTGGAAAATTCTATGATAGAAAGCTGATATTTTCAGTGAATCTTATTCTAGTAATCCTTGAAAATTTCAACTCATTTGATACAAAATGAAGACGTCCATAAGATATGTCGTAAATTATTCACGTCTTGAAGACAACTATTCGGTACAACCAGGTCTAAAAGTGAATAATGGTTTATGTATTGAAAAGATATTCACAGACGTCTTTGAGACATTTAATCCAAGACGTCTTAGTCCTTAAGACGTCTTTAGGCAAATTGAAAGACGTTGGGTTTTGTAACATACGACGTCTTTAAGACGCCTTAAAATAAGCAAGAACGTCTTGAATGTCGTTTGTGAACATATCTTAGGGACGTCTCTAAGATGTCTACAAAAACTTCTCACAGAATGTCTTAAGCTCAAATGATGCAATATGTGTCTCAGGAACTTCGCTGTCCTGTTTTTCCAGGTTTTGGTATGCACGATACTCTAATACGCCTCCTGGTCTTTGGTATATAGCCAAACGCTAAGCTGCTTCTTAGAATATTACATAAAAGATGATAGTGCTTTAACTTTAAACCTTTACAACCTTTAAACCTTTACAAAACAGTTCAAATTCAAATCAGAATTTTCAGGAGCATTTTGGAACAATTTAGAAATTTCAGAGTTATTTCAGAGCAATTACCCTAAAAGGCTTCCACTTAAAAAATCTTGAAATTTCATATTTTCAACTCATAAGGTCCCTAAGTACCCTGAAACCGTACCGATTTTGAAAAAAAA